GGGGGGGGGGATCACAACCGCTTCTTTTACAATTAAACTTATGACGGAGAGGAGAAATATAGAGGAAGAAAGAGGTCAATGGCGTGAGGAAGGAAGAAAAATCGCGTGACCTCTGTTAAGGATTATCTAAATGCTCGAAGTAGTAAATTCAAAGTAATCTGTACCGTACAACCTCATCAAATTATGTCCACAACACACTGTTCTTTTCTCTCTTTTTTTTTTTTTTTTCGTTCTTCTATTTTAACAATTCACAATGATAACTCGCCTATATAATAAATCGATTAAAATTCTCACGGATATAGAAAAAAGTTCACAATGATTCATCCTCGCCATTTAAATAACAATTTTTTTCAACAAACATAAATTACAAATATTCATATAAACAAACTCGCTAGCCTTTTAATTTTCTTCTTTATTCATTTAATTATCTAACGATGAAGTCGATTTATTTCACTTTCAGATAATACGTTTGACCGTTTTACGATTGTTCACTTTTGGAACTATACAATAAGTTATCCTGAATGATACGGTGCGGTCTAATACGGTACTTTTCATTTCTGTTTATATATATATAAAATTTTTTTTTTTTTACGTTTTTTTCGCTTTTTTTCAAATAGTGTATTGTTTCCATTTTAATGTACTCCTCGTAATATAAATATTCTTAAATACTTATCTCCTATACACGTCGGTATTCAAATCGTTTCTGATACTTTCTAAACTTTTCATTTATCCGAGCTACGTTTTTTCATGTTGCACAACTTAGCAGAAGTATCATGTAGTACTTAATCCGAGGAACGACTCTCTTTAGAAGAGGTTCAAGGAGAATAAACGTTTCACAAAGTACAAAGAAAAATGAAATACGACGTAAGTTATCGAAGCACGTGTTTAAGTAGAACTAAATGCTGCGTATTGCTTCATATATTGATTAATTAATGTACTAATGTACCTGAGAATCGAGTTGACAATAAGGAATGAAATATCTGACAAAAAAACATCTGAAAGTGAAATAGTACGTTCTTAGAAATGACAATCATCCGAGGACTTTCTTCTCCATATCATCCAGTAACAAGT